GATCAGAAGAGAGTTGATCCCCAGGTCAAATATCTTTGGCCTTTTGGGGGATCGTCCTGGACCTCAGCACATCTTTAACCAGAAGCCCCCAAAGTTACTTTTCCAAGTCCTGGAGATTGCCAGAAACAAAAGCTTTCATTGGAATGAGGTGGTATAGGCAGATATTTTTAAAATAATTTTACTGTTTTTATTAAAAATAGCTCGTCGATTATCAAAAAATTCAACTAACAGTGAAAAATACAAAGAAGAAAGTAAAAATCGCTTACATCAAACATCCCCTTTCCCACAAATACAGAAGGAGTGAGGGAGATTATAGATTGCTCCATATACTTTTTTTTAATAAAAAGTATGAAAATTTAATTGAACTTGAATTAAAGTGAAGTGAAAGTGTAGGGCTTGCTGAATTTTGGTAATTGCTTCCTCCAAAAAAAAAAAAAAGAGGTTAGTTTTAAAAAGTTTAAAAATAGATATTATGAAATGCATTAAGGGTTTGGAGTCATTGAGGTTCGTTTTTATATTACATATTTCAAGTTTGGATTATTGCAGGGAAAGATGAGAACGGCAGTATTTCTTCCCACTTTCATATGTCTTCCTAACCTTTCCATCTCCACCTATACAAATGATAAGTTATTCTTTTTATACTCTCAAGGTTGTAACGTGTACATTCCACTCTATAACCATAATTTCCATAGTTGTTTAGCTTTAAGCTTATATGTAAGCGAATTTAATGTTCACCACCAGTCCCCTTACTGTGGCTCACAATTCCCAAGCTTATGATTTTGATTTATGTCTTGTTTAGCTGGATTTCATCATCCAATAGTTTTCCTAGAAGGGCTTAGAGGTGCATTTTCCTTGAATTCTAGCATGTTTGAAAATGTTCTTATTCTTGAAGGACAGCTTAGATGGTTATAAATTCTGGATCACTCTTTTCCCCAGAGCTTTGTAGATGTTACGCTGTATTCAGTGTTGTAGAGAAGTCTGAGACCAGCTTATTTCCAGCACCTCTCAACCCTTACTTTTCCCTGTAGGTTACTTACTCTTTCTATGAGGGTAGTTGGAGAAGCATTTTTATGTTCATATATAGCTATGGATCTATATAAGATATATATACATGCATAGAAAAGAGTAAGGTTTTATATATATATATATATATATTTTTCTCTTGGTGTGCTTTTTCAGTCTGCAAGTTCAGCTTTTCTCTCAGTGGAGGAAATTTTTTCTTCTCTTATGTCTTTGAATGTGTTCTTTGTTCCTTTTGTTTTTTCACTACTTCAGAGCCACCATAATCTGTAAATTTCTCCTCAGTGTCTCCACTGTAGGTCCATTACTCTACCTCTCAATACTTTAATCTTTCTTTCCTTCTTTACTTCCTTGTGCTCATCTCAATCTCCCCCACTAATTCAGCTTGAGGCTCTATCTGTTTTACTCCTGCATATTTCCAACATATTGGTTAGTTCTATATTTTTAGAATTTTTTGCTTCATTTTGTTATTTTGGTCTTCAGTTTATTTCCTTAAAGTGTAATCTTCTTCCATTTTGTGCGATCCTCTCATCTCACCTCTGATTCCTATTTTCATTTTTTCAGGTTCTAATTTCTCCTTGAGTCAAGACATTTGTGGTATACATTTCGCACAAAAATGCATTTTATGTGTTTCTTGCATCTATGTTTCTATTCTGACATGTCTCCAGCATGTTTCTTTTCTTCTTTCCTTTATACCTTCCTCTCCTCTTTCCTTCCTCTTTTGACTATACTATTTTTGTGTAGTTGCCATGCCATTTGTTTTCATTTAATTTTTTTTTTGATATGGACATTTCTACCTGGATTTTCTCTTGACCTAGATATATTGTGTAGGTCAAATTTCACCGACTTTTTCCTACCTTTTCTGAGATCTCTGTCCTCCTGGCAGCTCTTAGTTGAGGACTGGGTATTTTGTGTCTGCGTTGTCACTGCTTGGGTGGTGGGGAAAAGAGGAAGTTCAGCTGGTGCTGTGGATAGTGGTGTTGTGGGTTGGTTTCTGCTCTTTTTCTATAACTTTGTTAATAGTCTAACACTTGAATTTATTCCACTGAAGTGGGGGCATATCTTATTCCCTTGAGTGAGCAGTAGTGGGGCATGGATTATTTCACCAGTTCAGGGTAGAATTACAGGGACAATCTGCCCAGGTGTTTATTTTCCACACTTAACCCAGCTATTCCCAGCAGCCACTCTCACTCCCCTGCCAGATAAAGGAAGGAAAAGATAGACAAAATCCAAAGAGTTTGGCCACTCTGCTATTTCTCAGAAGTGCAGGTTGGGGGTAGGGGTTGTGACCGCTTCAGTTGGGGCTTTCTATGTGTCTCCTGTCACTCGCTCTATCAGAAGGGATTGTTTTATTTGTGCTCTCTTACTTTCCTTTCTGGTAAGTCCCTCTGTTGTTTGAGATCGTCAGCTCTGGTAGAATACTATGCTGTCATTCTGCTTCTCCTCTCCCCTCCTCCTCAGTATGAAAAGCACATAGCAGCACAGGCAGTTTTTTGTCTCGTTGGAGTGTTCTTATGGTGGGATGGATATCCTTCTACTCTAGAGAAACTTTCTGAATCGCCTCTGCAGCTGCCTGCCCACCCCTCGGTCCACTTCTCTTCCAGCTCTGTAGTCACAAAAGTGACTACAAAAGTTTGTCACAACGTTTCCTCTCACATCTTCCTCTCAGTACTGATTCTTTGAGGGAGGAAGAAAGGGTTATCAAGGGTGGGAGCTCTACATTTACTTCTAGTAAGTTCTGTTTTTCTCTGGCCATTATTTTTAAAGATTATTGCCTTTTCCTGTACTTGAGAGCTGCTGGTCTATTTTTAGTTGACTTTAAATTTGTTGTTGTTGTTATTGTTGTTAATTTGGTTGAGATCAGGAGGGTGGCAGGTTCTGGGATCACTCTGTTTATTTATTTATAATTTTTATTTACTTATTTATTTTTGGCTGCATTGGGTCTTCGTTGCTGCGCACGGGCTCTCTCTAGTTGTGGCGAGCAGGGGCTACTCTTTGTTGCGGTGCGCAGGCTTCTCACTGCAGTGGCTTCTCTTGTTGCGGAGCATGGGCTGTAGGCGCGTGGGCTTCAGTAGTTGTGGCATGAGGGCTCAGTAGTTGTGGCTCACCGGCTCTAGAGCGCAGGCTCAGTAGTTGTGGCACATGGGCTTAGTTGCTCTGCGGCATGTGGGATCTTCCCAGACCAGGGATCGAACCAGTGTCCCCTGCATTGGCAGGTGGATTCTTAACCACTGCACCACCAGGGAAATCCTGGGATCACTCTTAAGACAGCCATTTTAGCAGGGCTAGAAACCCATCCCTTTTTGAGGAGTGGGGTTCTACCTAGGGGACTTTTCTGGGCAAAAGCCCCTCATATGACTTCCCTGTGATTATTGGACCTCATACAGTTATGTCAATCATAGATTTCTCAGGAGCCCACTGCTTCATTCTCTCTCTGCTGGGTGCAGTGGGGAATACATAAAGGTAGAGTGTGACCAAAGGCACCACAAGGTTTGCCATCTGTCACATGGAAACGTCAGACAGCAGTAAGTGTCAGGACAGAACCCAAGAGGTGACAGGTAACTAAGAGAACTAGCTACCTGATATGAGTCGAATCTCATATCCAAAGAAGGATCACTGACTGCCCTGACTCTGACTGATGGTCCTCCGGACTTTGCTGGATTCCTTGAGTACCAGGAAACTCATGAACACTGTTCAGTTATCGGGAAGTTCAAAGTATTTAAACATTGTTTACCTGGAGCCAAACTATACCTCCTCTTCTCTCTGCATGGTCTCCCTTGGTGAGGCTTCTAATTCACATGACTCCCAATCTTAGCTCCATTTAGATGGCTACCACAACCTTGCCTGTAGTCCTGATCTCTGGCCTGGACTACAGTTCTGGAAATCTGTTGGGTCAAACCCATGAAAGACGGCAAAACATGGATAACTAAAAGTCCTGCGTGCAAATGGAAAATAACCATTGTATGGGACGAAGATACCTGATTTGGTTCAAGTAAAAGAGATTCAAGGCTTTTAATCCTAAATGTGCTGTGAGCCCATAGTGTAGGGCACAGCAAGTCTGTGCTAAATGAATAACTAATGTCAATGCCAAGACCATTTGCCACTGTGCCCCTGAGCTAAGAGCTTGTTAGAGCACATCTGGGCTTCTGGGACAGCAACAACCAGAATGCGTGCAGTCAGGGGGTGGTATCTAGAGGCCGCAGTGAACAGTTGGGAAAATCGGGCTACAACCTGGAGAAGGGAAGCTTTGGAGAGGTACAAGAGCTGTCTTCAAGCAGGAGAAAAATTAGTGGGAAAGAGAGTACTTGGTTTGTTCTTTCTGCCTTCAGAGCACAAACCCACGACAGGTTTAGGAGATAAAAAAAAAAGGCTATTTATTGGTTCTGTTGACGAGGAGGCATCTATTTCTGAGATCTGTAAAAGATCTAATGACCTTAGCTTTACTCTGGAAAAACCCTGTTTCTACTCCTATCTATGGGAATATGGAACCAGACGCTGATTTCTAAGTAGGACACAGATGATAGAACTTCTGAATTCATATGAGGAAGAATAGTTGGGCAGCAGGCCTCTTGAGAAGCCTGCCAAAGAGAGGGGACTTTTCCAAACTTTATAGCCAAAGAGCCAACAATTTTCCAGTTGCCAGAAACCAACCTCAGACCCCAGACACAAGAGCCTGCTTGGTACTATGGAGAGCAATGGGAAGAACATAGAACTTAGAGCAGATAGAATTATTTGAAGCCTATGCCATTTACCAGTTCTGTGACCTTAAGCAAGTTATTAATCTTGCTGAGTCTTAGTTTACCCACCTGAAAAATGGGATGATTAAGGTCTAGCTCACTGGGTCATTGTGAGGATAAAATAACAATTATAAAACCCCTGGCATATAACCAGGTTCCAATAAATGTTAAAGCTATTCCTTACCCCCTGAAGCAAGTTGCCAAGAGTATTACATTTTATAAATTAAACACTTTTTTTTTCAGGGCCCCCTTCTGAACTCTCCCCAGCTATTGAGGAAGAAGAGTCAAAGAGTGGCCTGGATGTCATGCCCAATATTTCTGATGTGCTGCTTCGCAAACTGCGGGTCCACAAGTCTCTCCCTGGAAGGTAAAATTGGGGCATGGGTTGCACAAGACCCCACATTGGGTGGCCCCTGTATTCAATTGTAGATAGGACACAGGAGCACCAGACTTGATTTTTGACCCCAGAAGGGTCAAAGTCCAATAGTTCAGACAGGACTAATCCACCCAAAACAAAAAGAATAATAAAGAGCCAGGTGAGATGGTTCGAACTCAAAGAGGAGCAGGTGGAGTTCATAGGTGAACAATGCCATCAAGAAAGTGAAAAGACAACCCCCAGAATGGGAGGAAATATTTGCAAAGCACATATATGATAAGGGACTTGTTTCTATAATATATCTTCGAAGAACTCTTATAACTCAATAAAAAAAACAACTAATTTAAAAAATTTTTAATTGAAGTGTAGTTGATGTACAGTATTATATGTTACAGGTATACAACAGAGTGATTCACAATTTTTAAAGATTATACTCCATTTATAGTTATCATAAAATATTGGCTATATTCCCTGTGTTGTACAATATATCCTTATAGATTATTTTATACATAATAGTTTGTACCTCTTAATCCCCTACCCCTATCTTGCCCCTCCCCACCTCCCCCCCAACTGGTAACCACTAGTTTCTTCTCTATATCTGTGAGTCGGCTTCTTCTTTTGTTATATTCACTAGTTTGTTTTATTTTTTTAGATTCCACATAAGTGGTCTCATACAGTGTCTTTCTTCCTCTGTCTGACTTATTTCACTTAGCATAATACCCTCCACGTCCATCCATGTTGCTGCAAATGGCAAAATTTCAATTCTTTTTTATGGCTGAGTAGTATTGACAACTAATTTTTTTAAGTGGGCAGAAGATTTAAATGGACATTTCTTCAAAGAATATATATGGGGGTCAATGAGCACATGAAAGGATGCTCAGCATCAGTAGTAATTAGGGAAATGCAAATTCAAATGGTTTATCATGAATAATAAATGATAAATTCATTAAATGAATGATTTATCATTTATCATAAATGATTAAAATGAGATATAATTTTATATCCCTAGAATGGTTTTAATAAAAAAGATGGGCAATAACAAACGTTGGTGAGGATATGGAGGAATTGAAATTCTCAGTAAAATGGTACAGCCACTTTGGAATAACAGTTCATCAAAAAGTTAAACAGGGCTTCCCTGGTGGCGCAGTGGTTGGGAGTCCGCCTGCCAATGCAGTGGGCGTGGGTTCGTGCCCCGGTCCAGGAAGATCCCACATGCCGTGGAGCGGCTAGGCCTGTGAGCCGGGGCTGCTGGGCCTGCGCGTCCGGAGCCTGTGCTCCGCGGCAGGAAAGGCCACGGCAGTGAGAGGCCCACGTACCGCAAAAAAAAAAAAAAAAAAGTTAAACATACAGTTATTGTATGGCCCAGCAATTCCACTCCTAGGTATATAACAAAGAGAAATGAAAATATATGTCCACACAAAAACTTGTATGTGAATGTTCAATAACAAGCATTTTTCATAATAGCTAAAAATGGAGACAAACCAAATGTCCATCAGCTAATAAATAAATAAAATCGGATATATCCATAGAATGGAATACTATTCAGCCATAAAAATGAAATACTTATATATGCTACCAGATGGATGAACCTCAAAAACATTATGCTAAGTGAAAGAAATCAGTCATGTGTTGTATGATTCCATTTATATGAAATACCCACAATAGGGAAATCCACAGAGACAAAGGAGATTAGTCATTGTATAGGGCTGGGGATTGGGGGAGTGACCACTAATTGGTATAGGGTTCCTTTTTGGGAGGATTAAAAAGTTCTAAGATTGACTGTAATGATGGTTGTACAATTTTATGAATATACTAAAAACTACTGAATTGCAAATATAAGAGCATGAGAAAAAGGAAAGAACAGTAAATGCAAAGGCCCTGGGGCCACAACAACGTAAGTGTGTTTGAAGAGCAGAATGGCGAATGTGGCTGAAGAGTGGGAAGAATCCGGTAGGGGCCAGTTCACAGAGGCCTTTGATTTTATTCTAAGGCCTATTAAGGCAGTTTGAATTCTGAGGCACACCCAGAGTGGTCTCCTAGTACGTCACCTGCTAGGCCTCCACCTTTTTGGAGGGTAATGGCTCTGCCCCTCCCTGCCTGTGCCAGTTCATGAGGCATAGCTCTCTGCTTCAGGAGCTGACCTTGTCATGTGGCTTCTTTACCTAAACCACACCTCCCTGGGTCCTCAGGGCCTTGTATATTTTTCAAAAATGCGTTCTATAGCAAAAAAGCAGAACGTGAGTAATCAAGGTAGAAAAGTAAGTTTGGTTAATAATTGATGAAAACGTAATTTTCACATAATATCCAAACAAAGCCAGGAATCAAACGCAAGCTCAGTGAGTTTGATAACCCATTTAAGCAAGATGTGCATGTCCTATATGACAGCTGACATTGTGTTGGCTGGCCCCCAGAGGAAAGGGCCTGACGGGTGGGCCTGTGCAGAACTGCAAGCCTCAAACAGCTTTGCACTTGTTTATCTCGTGCTCTGTACTCTGCTGACTTGATGGCCATGGGGTCTTGTTGCCTCATCCTGACAGGAAGGTTCTCATAGTCCCTTGTCAGGGGTGAGAACCAACCCCTTGCAGAGATTGCTGACCCCTACCTTTGCTCTCGGGGTCCCTCCACACCCGTCAAAGGGAGGAAGCTGTGTTTCCTGAGAACCTTATCGATGGCATGCTGGTTGCCAAGTCCTGTGACGCCAGTAGGACTCCTCCCCGTTCTCCCACACAAGCACGGGAAAGGGCCCGGTGCATTATTTACGTCGTCCGGGTTTCAGAGCAGGGCTTGCTTTAGTCACCAGCCAGAGCAGCAGCCGAGCAAGGGTGCAGAGTGGAGGATGCTTGCTGTGGGAACCGCACCCTCTGCACCAGCTGGGGCTCTCTTGGCCAAACTCTGATTCCAGCCATCAGAAGAGGCTCTTGCTGTGGAGAAGAGCTCTGGCCACTCTTCCCTACTGTCTATTCTCTGGCTCACATGCACCCTTGTCACACCCCTCAGAGGCAGGAGGAGGGTCAGGCTTTGCAGACCTGGGCAGCCCCAGAAAAATTATAATGGCTGTTCAGATGTATACAACTTATGAAGTATATAGCTTGTATAGTCTTTTATTAAGTCCTCACAGCATGCCTGTGAGTTAGTCATAATAATAAACATCTCCTGAGTGCCCGCTGAGTGTGGATGTCATATGAATATACACATATGTACATATATATACACATACATACACGTGTGGATGTCATATATAGGTGAATATAGACACATATATATACACATTTATACATACGTATATATATTCCTTATAAGACTCCTGCAAGACAGATATTATTCCCAATTGACAGATGAGATTAAGTAACTTAGATTAAATAACTCATCCAAAATCACACTTAGTAGAGGCACTGGTGGAGCACTGACCCCAGGATCTAATAGTTTCCGCCATACTTCCTCTGCAGGAGTCACTATCTTGGCGAATATCTCACGGGTTACAGAACTCACACAAAGGGTACCCTGCATCTTTTCCATCTTGCCAGCCCTGCTTACTCTAATTCCTGGAAACACCTGGTCTGCGTGCTGTTCAAAGGCACCTTTTGGTTTATTTCAAAGGTTGGATAAAGTTCATTTGCATGTCTTTTCTTTTTCACAGTGCCCCTCCACTCACTGAAAAGGAAGTTGAGGTAAGTAACTCCAGTGTTTTATGAAATTGAGTACTTGAGCTTGAGTGGGTTCATTCAAAACATTTCCTTCTCCAGCCTCTGCTCCTGACATTTTTATACAAACATGAGAATGAGTGGCCATGGGGGGAATATGGGCATCGTGATCAGCCCTACTGAGCCACCAAGCCCCCGACCACCACTCCAGTTAATGGAAGATTTTGACAAATTTCGTCAGGGATGAGACGGTAGCTGGAAGTTCCACATTTCTTCAACGGTTGTTTGTTTTCTTTAAAAGTATGACTTAGATACACAGAGCAGCTGGGAGGCTGCAGAACTGAATCAAATTTATTTCAAAACTATTAAAAGATGGTCAGATTTCATGTTTCAGACTTTGGTCTGGAGGAAGAAGGTGCTTTCCTTCTGAGGGTTTCAGACGTAAGGAAGCCAGCTCAGCCAAGGTGGTGGCTATGCTGTCAGCTCTCCCACCTTCCCTGATTCTCCCATGATTCTCCTCGGGGCCTCCTTGTCTCTGTAGAGAAGCTGTCCCAATGGGGCTGGTGAGTGAGCTGAGAGGAATTTGCATTTCATTCTGTCGAAGGGGTAGATGGTCAAAGAGAATGCATCGGAGGTGAGACAGTGAGGACCTCAGGCACCAGCAGTAGTTTGTTTCCATGACAATTACATTGGAATTGATAGAAGGAAGGGAGCAAGAACATGGATGATTCCAGAATACTTCACTCCGGGTTGGGAGGATGGAAGATTTTACAGTTTACCCTTGATAACAAGAAAACGAACATACACTTACTGAGACCCAGTGGACCACATAAGCAAAGGGAGATGGACTGTGTAAAATATCTGGCACAGATAGTAACAATTACCTGGCACACAGACATAGAACTTACAGTCTTTGGCACACACATATCCATCCTTTCAGCTGACCCCCCCCACCATCAGCTCTGAGAAACAGGTAGAGCAGGTAGCAGAACAAAGGAGGAAACTGAGGGATTAAATAAGTTATCTGAGATCCCAGACCCAGTGCTTAGCAGAATCAGCATTTGGAGTCAAGTGTTCTGACTGACTTCAGGGCTCTTTATATCACACTGCCATTAAGGGGATAACCCAGTTATAGAGAACTAAATATTGAGCATTATTGATAAACTTGACTGAGGCTTGGGCAAGACAGAGAATCCCCACCCACTGACGCTGGTGGTGATGGCCGCGGGCACTTTGGTTAAGGGTGCGCTCCTGTCCTCAGGTGTGTGCTGACACAATCTGTGCTCAGCACGGTGAGAGGAGCACAGGCTTGGAATAAGATCGTCTGAGGCTGAATTCTGGCTCTGCCACTCCCTTGTGACACCTTGAACAAGTTAATGACCTCTCTGCTCTCGGTCTCTTTACCCATAAAGTGGACATAACAGTTCCTATGGCAGAGGACTGTTGAGGGATTAAACAAGCTAAGGTGCGTCAAACTCCTGCCAGTGCTGGCGTATAGCAGATACTCAACAGGGAGTAGCTTTCAACGTGGCCCTGATCATCATCATCACCGAGCAGTTCAGGGTCTTCAGTTCTCCGTCTGGAGATGTCTGCCCACCGTGGGCCATGTTACGTGAACTTCAGATGCTCAGGCGGAATCAACTCACCCTAAGGGTGTAAATCTTCTACCACTTGACACAGGCAAGGTAAATGAGGGCTGTAAAAATGAAGGCCGTTGCTTCCTTCCTGTGTAGAGTCCATCTGTCTATTTCTCCTCCCCAGTAGTTTCCTATTAGACCAGGAATTCCATGTCTGATCAACACCACCTTTCAAAGTTCATTCATGCAGGCTGCATTTTTGGCATGGAATATTTGTTCCAGAAAGCTTCTCCTAACAGGATCATACTTGGCTTTGTTTAATCTCCTGGCAGCTTGTGAAAGCTGCTTTCAGCGTAGGATTTGGAATATTCAGATAAGATGCTGGTTGAAGTTTGCTTTGAGTCAACAGGCTTACATCTCAAGTGGGGTTTCTTTAAATACAGTGGTTTCATGTGAAATACTCCAAAACCCGCATGCCATAAATCCTAGCATGAATCCAAACTGCTTACGCAATCAGCTGTGTTGGCCTGAGTTTATCTAAACCCGTATACAGGATGTTATTTTCTTGACATTCAGGAAAAAGCAAAGTGTTATTCTCTTCTTCTTTTTCAGTAAAATGTGTTTGGTCTTCTGGTCCTGGGAAGGACCTAGCATGGACCTCAGGTTACTATTTCGCCATCTTTTGTGCAGCTTACTTCATTAAGGGAGAGTTTCACTTGTTCTTGGCTGCTTTGGGGGCTGGTTCCAGGAGCTGATTTAAAATCCTTGAGCAAAAAATCCACCAGCAGCCTTGCTCCCAGCACTAACTCCTCCTAGCACCTCTCCAACACTCTTGTTCCCAACAGAACGTGTTTGTACAACTGTCCTTGGCCTTTAGAAATGACAGCTACACCTTAGAGTCTAGAATTAACCAGGCGGAAAGGGAACGCAACCTGACAGAGGAGGACACAGAGAAGGAACTGGAACACTTCAAAGCTTCCATTACGGTAATTGTGGAGCCTGATTGGGGAATCCTTGCAGGAGACACTTTCCCCAAGGGCTGTGCCGGGTCTCCTGCTTTTCTCAGTCACCAAGTAGAGTCTCCTGAAGTGAGAAATGGGGCCAAGGCCCTGAGCCAGGCAGTCTTCCTCAGAGCTGGGAGGAGCTGAGGCCGAGATCCCAAAGGCTTGGTTACCTCAGGGCTGTAGTTAAGGCCTCTGAGCCCTTGGCAGCTTCTCAGGAGGGGGCTGGATGACCTGGGATGGCAAAGGGAGCACCCTGGGGACCAGAGACCCGGAAGTGATTCCCTTCCTTCAGGCCAGCCAGCTACAGCGTGTCCACATTGGGCTTCTCCAATCCCAGAAGTAGCCGTCGCCTGGGCCCTGCCGAGGCCCCTCCTCTCGGCCAGGATGGGGCCAGGGCTCATCTTGTGACAGCCCTGGTCAAGTCTTGGTCTGTGAGGACCCCATGTGATGTTCCTTCTCCCTCCTCAGTCCTCAGCTTCACTCTGGCACCACTGTGAGCACCGGGAGACCTACCAGAAGCTGCTGGAGGACATCGCTGTCCTGCACCGCCTGGCTGCCCGCCTCTCCAGCCGAGCCGAGATGGTGGGGGCCGTCCGCCAGGTGAGCTCTGCTCTGTCTGCAGTAACTGGAGCAGTGATGTAAGCAGTGGCAACTACAGATACTGCTTATTGATGGCTTCCTCTGTGCCAGACATCCTACGTTCATAATTGTAGTCGTCTCAGTGTATTTTTGATGGACCACTATATTCTTGAGGTGCTCCCCAGAAAAAGCTTTCTATGGATACCTACATTTGAGAACTGCTGCATACTACCTTCCTTGCTTGGAGATTTCTAATGTATGTTGGCATAAGCAAGGCTTTGAGAAGTCCTGTAATGAAAAAGTCTGTTTAACACTACCGACATATTTCTCAAATGTATTGAGTAAAGAATCACTTCCCCCTTCTTGTTCCCACAAAATACCTATTCAACTCCCAGGGAACTAGTATTTGGCAAAATGTGCTTTAGGAAAAACTGCTTTGTTTCATTAATCCTCCCAGCAACTCTGTAAAGTAAATAATCTTATCCCCTGATGAACACATGAAGTCTCAGAAAGGTAATAGCACTAGCGTGGGGCAAAGCTAGGGTGCAGGCCCAAGTCTGGCTCCCTCGCAGCCACTTTGAAGTCGTGAGGCACTCAGGGTGCCACCGTGATCCAGCATGGTGGTGTGGGGTCAGACTGCCTGAGTTCTCATCCTGGCTCCACAAGGATTCACTGTGTGGCCTTGGGCCTCTGTGCTCCAGCTTCTCCAACCGTAAAAGGTGGATGCTGACAGTATCTGCCATACAGGGCACTGTGCCACTTGTAAAGCACCTGGATGTCGTTATCACTGTTGCTGTTACTGTGGACCCATGTCCTGCTGCGTGGTTTGCATGACAGGGGTGTTCCTGGGGCACAGCCCTGGGCAGTTCTCATAGAATGAAGGAAGGACAAGCCACGGGGCTGTCCCACCCGTGTGCTTCCGGCGGAAGGGCACCCAACTCGGCAGCAGCACCCAGGAAGCCACTCCAGCTGGGAGCAGCAACAAAGGGAGGGCTTTTAGGGAAGTGGCTGGTCTCAGCTCAGGGCTGTGGGGACTTTGTCCAGGGGACAGTCACTGAGCGTGTCCCTCTGTGGCCAGGCAGGCCGCGGGCAAGGATCTCTGAGGGATCCACGGGGTGTCAGTAGAGAAGACTCTTCCCCATTTTGCACAGCCCTCGTGAAAGTGTTTCTCAGCCCACGCACGGCTCACTCTAGCCTTCACCCTTCTCCAAGTGGCTTCCGTGTCTCTGTCCTCACTGTCTTCTCTGGTTCCACTGGACTGGTTCAGGCACTCATCCTCTCTTCTCTTGTTGCTCTTGCTGCCACCAGTCTCACACCCTTCAGTCCAGTCTCCACTGGCGACCTGATTATGACACTCCCTTACTTTAAGACATTCGATGGCTCCCCTCTTCCTTCAGAATAAGTCCAAATTCCTTAGTCTAGCATTCAAGGTCCTTCACAGCCCAGCCCTAACTCACCTTTTCTTCTTGCAAACAAACACAGCCATTTGCTGATTCCTACATGAGTAGGATGACCTGTGCTTTCCTGGCTTTCCAGACAATTCTGGTATATGTTTATTGTCCCAGCATAATTCGTGATGGCACCGCCTTTCACTCTGCAAAGCATCCTGTCTGGAGGGGAAATCCTCACCTCGATAGAAGCCTTGTGATGTCCTGCCTCTGGACCTTGGCTCTTGGAGTTCCCTGGCTAATGCTCTTTGTCTCTCCTGCCCATAGCTATGTGCCCAGATGCTACAGCACTTCACTCCGTCTCAAGAAGCCTCCCCTGACCCATTCTCTGCAAGCAGAGATGACTCTGCTCCCTCTCATCTCCTGAGGCTTTGTGGCTGGGCTTGTCATTGTTATCCCTGAGTGCAGGTGCCTGAGCCCCTGTCTCAACTCACATCCCCAACAGCAAACTCTTAGAGGGCAGAGTCACGTCTGATTGGTCCTTGTATCCTTTCAAGTCCCCCAGCCCAGAGCTTGGCTCAGAGCAAACAGTGCTGATGAGCTTTTCATCCAAATGTTCACACTCTTCTTCCCTGCAGGAAAAGCGCATGTCGAAAGCAACAGAAGTGATGATGCAGTATGTGGAGAACCTGAAGAGGACGTATGAGAAGGACCATGCAGAGCTCATGGAGTTTAAAAAACTTGCAAATCAGAATTCAAGCCGCAGCTGTGGCCCCTCTGGTAAGAAACTGGGTTCCTGTCCACCCCCGACCTTGGCCCTGTAATATTGGGTCCCTGATGGATCCAGGCTAGGATCATACCTATGCGACAGCCCCAGGACCTGTGTTAGGGTGAGCAAAGCTTGCTGCCTGGCCCAATGCTGCCCACAGGGGCCTCACAGTCACTGTTCCTGTGAGCTTGGGGGCCTGGAACCAGAAAGCATGAATGGCCCCCAAGCAACTCCTGATAAAAGTAACCAGAGAAGCTGATCACTGATGCAAAGCCCATAGGCTGCAAGAATTCAACCACCTTTGTGAGAGTGGCACACCCCAAACCTTACAACCTTTGTGCTTTGGGGTCCCCACTTTGGGCAGCACATGCTAAGGAAATTGCACTTTATCCTGGAAAGCATTAGGGATCCAACCAAAGATTTTAATCAGGGAAATGACATGATCATATATAGTTTAGAAGATTCCCTCTGGCAGTGATGTGGCAATTACATTACTGGGGTAAAGCCAGAGACAAGGAAACCCACAAAGCAACTATTATAGTAATGCAGGTGAGAGATGGAGTCTGGGCAGAGGGGTGGAGTGAGAGCCTGGGTAAAGGAGATACTGCTGAGATAACTTTTAGACTCGTGGGCAAGACAAATGCTTTAAAGAAATACTCTTTTTTAAAGAAGTTCTATACAGATTGCTATAGAAGCACAGAGGAAGGGCCATCTGGTTCCACTTGATATTGAGTTGCTGTGGTTTTGTTTTGTTTTTTATTGAAGTATAGTTGATTTACAATGTTGTGTTAATTACTGCTGTACAGCAAAGTGACTCAGTTATACATATATATACATTCCTTTTCATATTCTTTTCTGTTATGGTCTATCACAGACTTTTTTTTTTCAGGAGAATATCATTGTTATTTATTTATAATTTTTTTTAACATCTTTATTGGAGTATAATTGCTTTACAATGGTGTGTTAATTTCTGCTTTATAACAAAGTGAATCAGCTATACATATACATATATCCCCATATCTCTTCCCTCTTGCGTCTCCTTCCCACCTTCCCTATCCCACCCCTCTAGGTGGTCACAAAGCACCGAGCTGATCTCCCTGTGCTGTGCAGCTGCTTCCCACTAGCTATCTGTTTTACATTTGGTAGTGTATATATGTCCATGCCACTCTCTCACTTCTTCCCAGCTTACGCTTCCCCCTACCTGTGTCCTCAAGTCCATTCTCTACGTCTGCGTCTTTATTCCTGTCCTGCCCCTAGGTTCTTCCTGACCTTTTTTTTTTTTTTGGTTCCCTATTTTATTTTTTACATACGGTATTTGTTTTTCTCTTTCTGACTTAGCTCACTCGGTATGACAGACTCTAGGTCCATCCACCTCACTACAAATAACTCAATTTCGTTCCTTTTTATGGCCGAGTAATATTCCATTGTATACATGTGCCACATCTTCTTCATCTATTCATCTGTCGATGGACATTTAGGTTGCTTCCATGTCCTGGCTATTGTAAATAGTGCTGCAGTGAACATTGTATCACAGACTATTGAATATAGTTCCCTGTGCTATACAGTAGGAGAGTTGCAGTGTTTTAAAGTAAAAGTAGGAGTTCTCCAGGCTAAAGGGGGAAATACACCCCAAGTGGAGGAAATAGCATGTGCAAAGGCGTGGAGGTTGGGCTGAGAAGACTATGAAACAAACAGTCTGCTGTGGTTTGGGGTGTTGGAGCGTGACAATGACATGTTGAAGGTAAGACTTGTTAGACCAGGGCCACATGCCAGGCCCTGTGAAAAATCTGGATCTTTGTCCTCCAGGCAGTGAGGAGACACCGGTGGGTTTACACCAGCTGACATAGATTTTATTTTTAGAAGATTGCTGACTTCAGAGTGGACGATGCATTAGGAGAGTGTGGACATTGAGGGATGGAGAGACGAGTTAGGAGGCTCTGCCGCAGTCCAGGTGGAGGAGGACGGTGCTGTGGACCAGTATCTCTCCTTGGGAGCTTGCCAGGGTTTGGGCTCTGGCTGATGAGGTGTGGTGTTAGCAGGAGAAAACAGACCTTTTAGCAACAGGAATCCCTGTTGGAATGCAAACATCCGTGTTACCAAGAGCAGAAGGAGAGAAAGTACACAAAGTCTAACAGATGGAGAAACCTTTATAAACAGGAGGTTTCACAAGTTTCCTGGGGAATATCACTGACGCTTCCCAGGGTCCAAAGGCAGCGTACACATGCTCCAGACCGTCTGCTTTGGTCTTGGCAGCAAGGCTCCTGACCCACATGCATCTGGGCCTCTAAGAAACCTCTCTCTCTCAGTGTTGGAAGTTGGAGAAGCTACCACCAAAGAAATCCTAACACGTGTATTCTTACAATATTGTCCTGCAAGGTGCAGGGTCTCCTGTGAACCACCTTACCCACGATTTATGGAATGAGCACAGTTGCCCGTGAGTCTCATCCATTCATTCTACAGGCGTTTATTGAGCATCTCCGGTGTGCCCACGTGATACTGGAATACAGAGGTGAAGTGTACCCAGCCCCTGACCCAGAGGAGTTCCCAACCTGTGGTGAGGGCAAGGCAGTGTAAGCAGTGCGGTGATAGATGTAAGCAGGTTTTATGGGCGCACATGGCAGAGTCCCACGTTCAGCCTGGGGGCCTGAGAAAGTGCTTACAATCAGATGGGAGCCCGTAGTTGAGTGTTGAACGGTGAATGGGTAGTTTTCACACATCTGTTCCCACTCCACTGTTTTTCCAAGCTACACCTCAGCTTGGGCTGGTGCAGAGGGGCCAGATGTGCCCATCAGATACTCTGTGACCATCCCCTGATGGTGGTTGTTCTTTAAGCTTTTATATGACTTCTTTGTCATATATGCAATCTTTGTCTGTGCCTGAAGACTACAGTGAAAAAAAAATCTCTGATTTCAAGAAAGGTGGTACACATTCAGAAGAAAAAAAAACATCTTTTTTTTTCTTCTGAATATGAAACATGCTGATTGCCTGCATTTTGGATTATTTCCTTAAGGTAGATTTCCAGAAGTGTAAATACTAGCTCAGGGGAAAGGAATATTTAGAAGGCTCTTTTTTTTTCTGTATAAATAAGATCTTTATTAAACAAACTGAAACAGAGAATTGAATAGTCACTGGGGAGCTTTAGGGGAAAAGTCACTTTTACCAAATATCCAGAGAGGGAAAAAAACACAAACTTCAGTTGACAGGAGTTGTGACCAGAATCATCAGTAAAGTAGTGTCATTGCAATGCCTAGCTTTTAGAAGAAATTAATCAAGAGTCAATATAAATATCTCATAGATTCTCTCTAGTCATAGTACTACAGGTTTACCTTTAAAAAATGGGAAACAAGTGAGGTTTGTTCTCAAGGCATCTTTTCCCACTTAGAGACCTTCATGCTGTCCCTTGACTGAAATAGATCCCTGAAATCTTAACTTTGTCCGTTCTACTGTAAAAAATGCCCCAGTTTTGTGTTCAATTCCTTGTATATTTGCTCTCTATATTTAATGGTGACAAACTAATATATGCAGTTTTCTGTGATTAATAAAGAACAATCATTCCCTCTATCAGGTGGATTTGCATTTTAACGGGGAATTCTGATGACAGACAGATTCAGAGTTTATGTCACTAATCTTTTTTTTTCTTTATACAGCAGGTTCTTATTAGTTATCTATTTTATACATATTAGTGTATATATGTCATATAAGGCTCTTAAAGCAAATTATTTCCAAATAACCCATTGATATTTCCATTTAATGGGTAACGGTGATGCTCAATTCATTGTGCCATGGACATTCTTGGCTTTTCTTTTTGAAAATATTTTTGACTTTGATAGGCCAATATCGTATCTCTTCCCATAGTTTTAATTTGTATTTCTTGACCTTTTCAAATGTTTATTGGGCATTTGTATTTCTACTTGTGTAAATTCTCTAATTCTTTGGCCACTTGTGAGATTGGTATTTTATTAACTGTATGAACTCTTCATACACAAAGAATATTTTCTGGTTCTGCTGTTTGGGCTAACTGGAAAACTTGAAAATCCTTTGACTACAAATACTTAGAAATTTCTGCTGGATAAAGTGAAGCAAACATTAGTCTAAAAGAATAGCTGACTCCACAAGAAAAGAAATTGAAATACTCAGATACAAGAAAAGAAAAGAGAACTGAAACCAAGCTGACCCTGCAGCTTTCCTTGAGGATAAGAGTCAGCCTCAGCTATCTGGGCTCTGGGCTTTTGCACTCACATGCAATCTGAGATGAGGCCTCGGACATCCAAGGCAGAGAGTTGACTCTGAGCCTCCCATAGAAAGTTAAGACTTTCCAAGGACTGCATCTGTGGAATACTCACCAGCTCACAATGGAACAAATCAAGGAAGTTTGTCTGTTTCACCCTGGGCTCTAGTAAGAAAAAAACACTTTCTCCTTCCTCATAGGAAAAGTGCATGCCCACAAAGTACATGCCATAACAAAAGTGATGCAATATGCAGAGATTCTGAAAAGAACATCACAATGGTGCTGCTAGGAACACTGCAGAAACAAACATAAATCACTCTGGAGAGACACACCCTGTGCCCAGGAGACACAGGATCCTCTAAGTAAAGCTTCACAGAAGATGAGTTTACAATATAGAATTATAAAATAGGAAAACAATCTACCACAAGCAAGAATCATCAGACACCCAAACCACAGGATTATATGCTACAGATAGCAGATAATAAAACAATCTGATACATTTTTTAAAGATATGGGTAAAATTATTAAAGGCATAAAAGAACAAATCAGAAATATGAAATAGAAGAGTACAACTGTCAAAAAAAGAATAAAATAGAATCCTAGAAATGAGGAATAGAGGTGTGGAAATTAAAAACTCAGTTGTTTAGGAGTGGTAGTTATTAGAATTGAAGCTGTTCCTCAATATTCAGATCTCCTCCTCCTGAATGTGCCCATTCAGATGGGCACACTTCTTCTCCATCCCCTTGAAGTTAGGTGAGGCCATGTGATTTGGCATTAAATGTCAGTGGAGGGACATGTGTCGCATTTGAACTGAGGTCCATAAAACTAGTGTGCCATTTGCCTTATGTTTCTTTCTCCAGACATGACAACCATCACTGCTCCAAAATAGTAGAAGCTCCATCAGCCTGAGTCTTGAGTGAGGGGATGCAGAGCAGAGCCTGCTGCCAACTCATAAGCAAATGGACATGTAGCAAAAGCAAGAAATAAATCTCAGTTGTTATAACCCACTAAGGCTTTGGGGTTGTTTATTATTGTAGCATAGCCTAGCTTATCCTGATTGGTACAACATTTACATCAGATTAGGAACAGTTGAGGAAAAAATTTGTCAACTAGAAGACAGATTTGAAGAAGTCACCCAAAATTCAGTTCAGAGGGATAAATTAATTTAAATATGAAAGAAATGTGATATGGGATATAGAATGAGAAACTTCGAAATACTTTTATTAGGAGATCCATAATGAGAGAATAAGGGAGAGAAAATATTCAAAGGAATTTCCCAGGATCTGAGAATTTTCCAGAACTAAAGAAAGACATGAATCCTTGCATTTAGGAAGTACAGAGACTCCCAAGCAAAAGAAATAAAAACACATCAGAGAGAAACTTTAGAACCCCAAGGACAAAGTGCAGTTCTTAAAAATAACCAGAGAGAGAAGACGGATTATTCACAAAGGAATGGCAATTTCCAAGACCAATAATAGGACCAGGAGACAATGAAGTAGTGTCCAAAGAGCTGAGAGAAAATAACTGTCACCCTGGAGATAATACTACCAACTAAACTATCATGCAAGCTTGGGGGCTTTGTAAAAACATTTTATGGCAACAACTGAGAAAGTTTACCTCTCACAGATCCTTGCTAAAAGAACAACTAAAGGGTGTGCTTAGGGAAAAATAAAATTGAGATCAAAAGAAAGTCAGAAGCAAGAAGGGATGGTGATCAAAGACATTTGTAAACATGTGGGTAAATCTAAATAAGCATTCACTGTGTAGAACAACAATCATCATAATTTGGGATTTCTAAAACAAAGTAAAATAAAAATACTGAAAAACAGGGACTTCCCTTGTGGCACAGTGGTTAAGAATCCGCCTGCCAATGCAGGGGACATGGGTATGAGCCCTGGTCGGGGAAGATCCCACATGCTGTGAAGTAACTAAGCCTGTGCGCCACAACTACTGAGCCTGTGCTCTAGAGCCCATGAGCCACAACTACTGAGCCCATGTGCCACAACTACTGAGTCCGTATGCCACAGCTACTGAAGCCCGCGCACCTAGAGCCCATGCTCCACAACAAGAGAAGCCACCGCAATGAGAAGCCCGCTCACCGCAGTGAAGAATAGCCCCCCGCTCGCCGCTACTAGAGAAAGCCCATGTGCAGCAGCGAAGACCCAAGGCAGCCAAAAACAAAATTTAATTAATTAATTAATTTAAAAAATACTGAAAAACAATATAATTTAAGTTCAAAGGAGTGATCATTTTTTTAAGGTTGATTCAGGAAAAGGATAGAGATCTTGATTCATTTAAAATCTAATGTCATGTAACATGTTAAAAGTTTAAGGGGGCACACTAAAGATTACAACTAAAATATATAAATTCCAAACCAATTTGGGTGGAGGGAAGGTTAGAAAAAATTCAATTAATGAAGGAAATATAAACTACAAAATGAGATGGTAGAAATATATCAATCACAAGAAATATAAACAACTTAGACTTGTTGGTTAATAGAAAACCTCAGATTAGATTAAGAAAAAGTGTTAGTTATGTGCTTTTCAAGAGAAACACCTACAATACATGAATATGAGGAATAGGCAGCTATACAGACTAGACAGTATTGGTCAAACTGAATCAAACTGAACTGAGCTGTCAAAAACCTTTCTCTACGCATACTGGTGTTTTCTAGTGGTAGTATTATCCAGGTGTGGTGCTAAATATTTTACATGAATTTTACATATTTTACATATCACTTAATATATGTACTAAGGAGAAGAAAATCCAGGGGTGCTAGTTTCTTTTGTTCTGAATTATTTTGTAGATGACATATTGAAATTACTATTGTCAACAAGTTTCCATTTTTTATTGACACCACACCTTCCGTGCTCATAATTTCCGTGACTGTACATTCCTTGAATGAGCAAGAAATGACCCAATAAGCCCTGGTATTGCTACGAGGAATCTTCACATATTCTCCACGGCATAACCCAGAGACCGTGTGGTGGTGTGAGGTGGAGACCAGAGGTGCAAGACTAGGGATTCTCATAGTGTCCAGAGGAGTCAGGATGAAGGCTGTGTCCCCAAAAAAACCCACTCTGCAGGTGATTGTTTCAAAAGGTCAAGTGTCAAATTCAGTGACCTCTGCACCTAGGCCCTTGGGACATCCCTTGAGGGTCAGTTCTGGCCCATAGATACCTTGGCTTAGTTTCTGCTATCTGCTTCCTGCTGGAGCCTACTCTGAGAACTAACCTGGGTTCTTCTCTGTTCCCTCCTGCTGCAGAAGATGGGGTCCCTCGCACAGCACGGTCCATGTCCCTCTCGCTGGGAAAGGTATGCATGTTCAAGGAATACTGGGGAAAGAAAGACAGAAGTTTCCACAGTCAGCCAGGAAATCAGTCATTCTTGGATCCACAGGTGCAAAAGAACCCCTGAACAGAGTCTCTCATTCAGCTTCCGAACCTTGCTAGCTCATCCTCCAACCTTCCCTTGCTCGTGGCTTCCAGTACCGCACCATCTCTTTAATGAACATGAAATGATGCACAAACTTTGGTATTGCCATAGATCATTTTCATACACTATCCAGGGTTTCATACACTGTCCAATGACTGGGCGTCATTTCTGTTCCATCTCTTCAGGATCTGAGAAATTAAAATCAGAACATGTTGAGAAATCACTCATCACTAATAAAAAAAATTTGTTAATTTTGGCCACTCTCTCTACACCAACCCCCAGCACCATCACTACCCTAAAACCAGGATATCCATTGAACACAGCATTTGGAATTAGTAGGCATTTCCCAGGCCTTTCTGAACTTTGGGTGCTGCCCCCTCCATGACAGTGGGCCTGATCCCTTCTCTTCCCACAGAACATGCCCCGCCGGAGGGTCAGTGTTGCCGTGGTGCCCAAGTTTAATATCCTGAACCTGCCTGGCCAGTCACCCAGCTCATCTCCCATCCCCTCCTTACCAGCCCTGGTGAGTATGATAATGCTTGCCTCCTGGGCCTCAGGCTCACAACTATGGGGGTGACCTGGATGGGGTAGTGTCAACAAGGAGAGGAAATTCCCAGCACAGATTCTGGGCTATGGGTTCAGAAGCCTCAGTATAGACCAGGCCTCAGGTCTTGTACTGCCCTGAGAAGACTCAGTGTCCTTGAGCAAGGTGCTGGCAGCTCAGAGAGTGTTCCTTGCAAAGCGTATGTCTTTTCATGCTTAAACCAGAACTCTCCACTCTGCAGTGGGTTTAAGCAGCTGAAGATTGCGTTATGGAGTACTTGGTAAGCTGAGCTTTGAACCCTAGGCCCCCTGATTCCAGAGCCTGAGTTCTTAAACCCAACGTTACCCTGCTTTGATTCATTACAGCATTGTTTACAACATTGAAAAATTGGAAATAAGCAGAATTCCCATTAATAAGAGATTGGTTTAATAAATTATGAAAAGCTCAATAAGGGGTTTCTATGCAGCTACTAAATATATGATTAAAATATAAAATTGTATTTATCGACATGAAAAAAGTCCATAATTTACTGTTAACAAAAAGCAAAACCCCAGTATATACAGCGTAACTCTGTTTTGTAGTTTAAGAAAGAGTGTTTTTCTGTGTGTAAACAGAAAATTCTGAAAGAATGTAAGTAAAACTACTAATAATGGTTATCTCTGGGCAATGGTAAAATCACAGGTGATTTTAATTTTCTTGATGCCTCTCTATTTCTAGAGTAAGAATGTATTACTTATAATCAGAAAAAAAATCTGCTTCAATTTTTTTTTAAAACAAAGACTATTCCTATAAACAAAATATTTTCTAGATTCCAGAACTTTGTGAATCTGGTTAAACCTACCTAAAAACTAGCTCTTAGGAGAGCTAGTTAGTACTTTTAACAGGGACTATTTCCCATTCTGTACTAAATGTATAATGTGGCTTCCAAATATATATATTCCTTTAGACTAGGGGTTAGCAATCAGGGCTATCCATTAAAATCACATAGGGTACTTCTAAAACATTCAATGCCTAGGCCCCAACCCAAGATTGGGGATTGGGTCAGTACTTTAAGAAAATATCCCCCAGGCGATTCTAACATGCAAGCAGAGTTGAAAGCCATTGTTTAAACCAAATCCATTGCAGCAAAACAACGTGGTATTCCTGGGGAATTTATTATAAAGAAATTTCTGATGCCTTGAGCTTTTAGTAATGGCAGGTATCTCCTGAGGGTTGTGCTTGGAACTGTATCTCGAGGGCAGTGATGGGCTTGTGTGAATCCATCCCAGGGGCCTTGGGACCTGCATTTGGTAGGAGCCTCCCTGGTATTTAGTCCAAGTCAGTAAACAGGGAATGGAGAGAAACTGATGGCTCCCCTCCAGAATGGAGCCTCAAGATGTAAACTCTTTCCCTTATTCAAGGAAACTTGGAAGAGGAGAAGGAAAATGTGCACATTGCCTGTGCCCCAGAGGGAAAGAACACCCAGGAAAGGAGGGCAGAGAAGCCCTGAGGAAGGGCCAATGCCTGAGCTCAGATGCAGATTAGAAAGCTTGGGGAGGGGGAAGGGGAAAGAAGAGCAGCAGCAACCCCTCCCCAGCATCATCGGAGACCTGTTGGCCCAGGCTTCTTCCTTCCTAGCTGATCCTCAATTCTCTGTCTCCTGTTTTCCATTCAGTCAGAATCACCCAATGGGAAAGGCAACCCACCTGTCCCCTCAGCACTGCCTGCACTTTTGGAAAAGTAAGTATGTCCCTTTTCCTCTTAACTTTGGGGATCTCTGAGGTAATTTCCCCAACTCACCTTTCCTCCCAACCTCACTCCCCAAATGCGATGGAAAGCAAATTAAGTTCTAGGGGAAATGAATGGGACTCTGAGACCCACAAAGATTTCAGACCCAGTTTGCAAAATTCCTGGGCCAGGAAGATGCTGCAGCTGAGTCCAAGTGTGCCTCCGTCCCAGAAGAGCCCAGAGAGGACAGAAACCTTCTTTATTCAATGGGATCCTTTGGGCTACAGATACAAGAAAGCCCCAACTCAAAGGGGTTTAAATAGCAGGTCCACAGATAAGGCTTTTCCAGATGTGGTACAGCAAGGCCCCAGCTCAACCTCTATAATTTCCTTTTTTCTGCCCACTTTGTATGTTGACTTCATCAGCAGGTTTGTGGCAAATGACTACTACTTCCAGGTATTTCATCCAATCATGACAACATCTAGAGGAAGAAGGGGACCATCTCTTTCCATGTTTCTTTCTTAGGAATGAACTCAGAAATCTTTTTTCAGTCTTCCTTCTTATCTTGTTAGCAAATTTGGAACACGCTCCTTTTCTAAACCAATCACAGGCTTTAGGAATGAGATTGTCATCATGGGCTTAAACTATGCCCTAGAGATGGGAAGAGCGTTCCAGCTCCTCTTCCAATGGGAAGCGTGTCAGCTTCCCATTGACCAAAATGGCTCCATGAAGAAGGGTAAATTCATGAGCAAAATCACATTGCTTTTAGGAAGTAGGAGGGAGAGTGAGTATTGAATTCGCAACAAACAGTGTCTGCTACGCCTACCTTTTCTAGGCACCTATGCAATTTGCAGGTCTTTTTATCCTCAGCCAAAGCAAGGCAGGCTATTTCTACATACTCAGAGGAGTTTATAACTTGCTTTTCCAGTTCTTTCATTTGCTTGCTGGAAAACATCTGGATCACAGCCGCCACCTCTCAGAACTTTCCCCACGTGTCTTTCCTCATTTGGTAAAACATACACCTCTATTCTTCCTTCTTCCTTGCCTTGAGACTGCTTTAGTCCTTCATTTTTCATTGATGTTAGAATAGTTTGGCTTGACCTGGCAAGGAATGTCTGTGTTGGGCCCCTTTTTTAGTACAGACAAACTCCCAGCTCCCCACCCCCAGACTCAGCCTGTTTTCCTCACCTCTCAGAATATGCAACCACCAACCTGTCGTTCAGTGACTCTCCCCCCATTAATCTGGACGTTTGCGAGGCAATTCCTCACTTTGCCACCTCACCCCGGGAAAGCTAACAAGTTCTTCATGTTGTGTAGGGTGCTTTTGTCTGTTTCTTTGTTTTCTTGATCACTACAGGGACATTGTAAAGGGGTGACAAACTAACAACCACGTGGAAGTAACCGAGGCTACAGAATTTTACCGAGTCCCTAAAGTCATAGTGTCTATCTAGTCCATGGTCTCTGAATTTCTCCAGAAATGGTCATCTGATGCCCTGAGTGAGAAGCGCACTGAAATTCTCCCTTCCAGTCCTGCCTTTGGACACACCAACCCCTTTTTTTCCAACAAGGCTCCATTTCTAACTGTTGACCTGCAGAGCAGGTTAAGGCAGAAAATCTATGTCCCCTCTCTCCCCAGCAGACTCTCATGATGGGGCAGGACCTGGACTCTGTAGAACGAATGCTCAGGCCTGCTGAGAGCTTCTATCTGAGGCAGTGGAGGTCATCAAGAACCTGAACTATCCTTGGTAGGAGCAAGCAAGGTGCAAAATGGGGGACAGCAGGCAGCAGCCCTGAATCAAGAGTGGCAACGAATGAGGATCAATGGTGGCAGCACCATTCCAGGGGTTTAGAACCAGGAGAGATAGGGACAGAGTGAGGATTCAGGCAAGTCAAGCAAGAAGCTGTCTGCTGCTCATTCTTACGGGCTATTCAGAGAGACCACCATGATACATTACCCATGCTGTAGCTGACTTGCCTGTTGGGAATATACCCAACCTATAAAGATGGCTGCAGAAAGGGGAGGGGATGTTCAAAGGAGGAGGGATTCAGACTAACAACAGCTTCCCCCTCTGGATTTCTAAAAGCTGCTAAGTAATGTTCATCTAAATTTATGGAACTGGAAATATCGATTGCCAAGAGGCTGACAATGAGACAATCTGTGAGTGAAAATGAATTAGTATCTTCCATTCTAACAGAAATACAGTTGATTCTAGCCACCTTTTCCATACTGTTAAAGAGAAATAATGCATTATGTGTTAATATGCATTGCTTTCTAGATTGCTGTATTTAAATCATCTCACATTTCCCTAGGTATACAGTGACTAAGCAGGTAGGGAATTGGCTAAGCACATGAAAGATGATGAGAAGATCATACTGCCTGTGGATACTTCACAAGCAAATACCTAACTGCAGACTGCACTCCCAATATGACTTGAGAGAATTCTGAACCTTGTTCTTGCAGGTCACTTCATAGTAACCTGTTCTTCACCTCAACAAGGGTCTAGGAACCTGTAGATTTAGAGAAAAATATAGAGAGTGATATTTAAAATTAGTATTAAAGGTTAAAATAGAACAAGGCTCAAGAACAGTTTCATAAGTAGAAAAAGCTATTTATTCATAGTCTTTCAGTTTTCATTCCTTCAACAATTAATAACCAAGAGCCAGGCACCTAGAATGCACCCAAGGAGCTCGCAGTATAATGGGAAAGACAGATGGGAAACAGCCTATTGTATACAATGTGATGGGTGATATCAGAAGGAAGTATAGGTTACCAAGGGAGTAAGACACAAGAAAATGATCACTCAACCCAGTTTTGGTGGGGGGGGTCGGGGGACGGAGGCTTAGAAAATGTTTCCTCTAGGAATTTACTTTAAAAGTGAAACATGAAGGTCATATAGTTAACCAGGTGAATAGGAGGTTAACAACATTCCATGCTCTAAGGCAAAAAAGTGGAGTAGTCAAGGAACACTACTGATGATTTATCACATGCTTACAATACTTATTATTTATTACATGCTTACTTTTTGCCAAATGCTGTTCTAATTGCTTTACATTAATGATCTCATTTAATCCTTACAATAATACCATGAGGCAGGTATACTATCAATGTCTTTATTTTATAGATGAGGAAACTGAAACTCAGTGAAATCATCACTTGCCCGAAGTTACACAGCTAGTAGATAGCAGAATTCATGTGCTTAACCACTTAATAGACCCTCAACTGGAAGAACAGAAAGAAGTTCAGTGTGACTGGTGAGAAGAGAGTGGATTTAAGAGCAATTTTTGAAAAAGCTCCTGTGAGCTATTGTGAAAGAAGCTGGTGGCTGCCTGGGTGTGGAGTGGAGGGCAGAGTGGGTGGGAGCAGAGGGTGTACACAGAGCCATTCACTGAGGGATCAGCAGCATCGTAGATGTGGATGGTGCACAGGGCTGCTTTCATAAGGGGGGCCATTAAACTGCTGTATCACAGAGCAAATTTTCACTATAATTTGTAAAATAACCATTTGGTACACTTTGGGAGCCCTCAAGATAAATTGCTTAAAGGTTTTATGACATTAAATATATACAGTAAACAACTCCCCTTTGCTGATAGTATTCTGGAATGGATTAGCCCTCAATCAACTAGTAGTGGACCCCAGAAACCTGGGATTGAGTAACAGAGACCAGTTCCCCCGGGCTGGGCTTGTCTGAGGGAGCCTCGGCAGTGGGGGTGGCTTAGAGACCTAGATGAGCCCGAGAAGGTAAGATCTGTCCATTGGAAAGGATTGGAGTCACTTTCAAATATTGTTAACCATGTGGAAAAAATAGACTCTACTATATCTGCAGGTCACACAACACATTTTGATTAAACAGCCCCTCATGTTACTGAGAGCTGAGCACAATGACAAATGTTTTTGACCCAGTGGACATGAGAGAACAATGAGCCTTATCCTAATTAATCATCCCCAAAAGAAAGCATGCAAGATTATGGCCTAGGAATAGATGCCAAGATCCATGAGTGTCTAGCCCAGAAGTCCTTAGGTGGGCACAAGCTGTGCTCAGCTCCATGTTTATAGACATGCATAGGGATTCCTTCAGCTCAACCCAAGCACTGAGTTCTCAGGAAATAGTCATTTACATAGAGGACCTGCCCATTTTGTAAGATTAACGGGCAGGGATGAGATGAGCCACGGTGAAGTCAATACAACTCAGCAAACAATTAAAGGCACTTACTATGTACCAAGCACCATTCAAACTGACTGTCTCCCTGCAATCACAGTCATATGGAGGGATGGACATGTGTATAAAACATAAAAGTGCCCTAGCTCCAAGTTATGCTATAAAAGAGGTGCAATGAGGGTATAAAGGGAGGGAGAGATCAACTTTAACCAGAGGGTGTGAGACAGAGGAAAACATTAGCAACAGTTCCACAAAGGAAAAGGTATTTGAACAGTCTTTAAAATGCATAGGGAGAAAATTCCAGATAGTTGGAGAAGATATTTAAGGAACTATAAGCTCAGTCTAAGGGTCAGGAAATAACAGTAAACATTTTACACCCTACCATATTTCATAAAATAATTGTTTTCCCTACCCTTGGCTGTAGCTGTGTTTTTCTGCTCTTGTTCCAGTCATTAGGACAAATAGGAAACGGCACATTAGGCAAAGATCGCATGGAAGGGAGTGGATAATGTAATTTTAAAAAGGAGAAATGTTATGAATAGCTGATATTTTTAGAGCATTATCTTTCTTGTTCACAATGGGTTTTGGTTTCCAGCCTGATGAAATGTAAATTTTACAAGGTCTGAGGGAAACTAAGACATGGGAAACTGATGCCAAGAATGAGGAGACTCACTCATAAAGCCTGTCTAAGAGGTCGGGGAGGGTGGCAGCTGTGATCTTTCAGAGTCCTGGCTGAAAAGCTCTGCTCGCTGTTCTGCCTCGTTCGAGGGCTCCTCCATGACAAGACTCCCACTGGGATTCCAGACACCTAGGTAAGCTGCAGGATTTATAGAGAAGGCATGGCCACCAGTATACTTCCTTTAAACTCATGATTTCATACCTCAAATGGGCTCCCAGCACCGTCAGCCATCCTACTGTGATCTTCTAGCACGTGTGTCCCCCCACCCCCACCCCATGATTCTTACACCTTCTCTTCCCTCTTCAAGCCTTCCTAGACCTCCCTACCTCTCACTTTTAGAAGATGACCTTGTCTTCCATTTTATAGAGAAAATTTAAGCTATCAGATAGGAGGATCCCTCTCATCTTCCTTTGCCAATCTCCCAGCTCACCATCTTCATTTCCTTCCTCCCTTTGTTATGACCAAGGAGAAGTTTCTCCACCTTTCTAAGGTCTGTCCCTACTTTCTTTTTTCAAAGAATTTATTCCTTTGGTCCTCCCCTTTCTCTCATCCCCTCTACTGGATCATTTCTATCCACATTCAAATGTGCTTTCATCCCTTGACCCACTTTTTCAGCTACTTGTTCCCCTGACAGTCTTCTATTCCCTGTCCTTGTCAAATTCCTGTCTACGTCTCCCCCTTTCTCACCTCCCATTCTTCCCTCAGTCCGTTCCAATCTGTCTTTGCTCCTACCGTGTAACCAAAGCTCCTCTTGACCTCCATGTTATCCAATCCAATAGTTGCCTTTTCTGTACTCATCTGACTCGGGCTCTCAAAAGTGTGTGCGTGACACACTTAATGCTCCCTCCTTGACACGCTCTCCTTTTGTTATCAAATGGGGGTCCCACTGCGCGCTGCTTACAAAATCACTACTCACAAATAGTAGAAAGGAACGGTGCCTTTAATCAGAATGCTGGCAATCTGGGGAGATGGTGGACTCAGTGTCCCCAAAAACCACCTCCAAAGATTCTGCTCAGCCATGAAACTTTTAAAGGGAAGGAGGGAAGTAATCTCAGTTAGTCATTGGAATGGGGGTCAGAGTGGTCACCATCCCCCCATTGCACGCAGGCTCATTCACTCTAGATGTTATCTTGTTCACACAGTTTGGTCACACAGTTTGTTTGGGAGATTACTGAAGGGGAAGCTAGGGAAGAGATCTGGTCATCTGTTAATTACTTATTCTTCATTTCTACCTCTTTGATCTACGGAAAGAACCAACAAGTTAGGCAAGGTATCGTGTAATTAAAAGATTTGAAAGGTGTGCGTGAGCTGGAGATGAGTAGAGCATGGGGGTGCCTGGCTTAAAAGGGGTAAGAGAGCTGTACTCAGAAAACTATAAGTTACTGATGAAAGAAATCAAAGATGACACAAACAGATGGAGAGATATACCATGTTCTTGGATCGGAAGAATCAATATTGTGAAAATGACTATACTACCCAAAGCAATCTACAGATTCAATGCAATCCCTATCAAATTACCAAGGATATTTTTCACAGAATTAAAACAAAAAATTTTACCTTTTGTATGGAAACACAAAAGACCCCGAATAGTGAAAACAATCTTGAGAAAGAAAAACGAAGCTGGAGGAATCAGGTTCCCTGACTTCAGACTATACTACAAAGCTACAGTAATCAAGACAGTATGGTACTGGCACAAAAACAAATATAGATCAATGGAACAGGATAGAAAGTCCAGAGATAAACCCATGCACCTATGGTCACTTAATCAGTGACAAAGGAGGCAAGAATAAACAATGGAGAAAAGACAGTCCCTTCAATAAGTGGCACTGGGAAAACTGGACAGCTACATGTAAAAGAATGAAATTAGAACACTCCCTAACAGCATACACAAAAATAAACTCAAAATGGATTAAAGACCTAAATGTAAGGCTGGACACTATAAAACTCTTAGAGGAAAACATAGGCAAAACACTCTTTGACATAAATCGCAGCAAGATCTTTTTTGACCCACCTCCTAGAGTAATGGAAATAAAAATAAACAAATGGGACCTAATGAAACTTAAAAGCTTTTT